GTGGCTGGTGCAGAGGCGCCGGACCCACACCCCTCCCCCAAGGCCCACCCTCAGTGTCTCCAGACCCGAGAGCCTGCCCCCACCAGTCCTGATGTGCTAGTGGCAGCTAGGACACTCCTGCCATGTGTGTGTGGGCACGGGAGCCCCCTGAGTACCGGCACTCCGATGCCATCCTCACGGATCCAATGTGCACCGTGTCACGGACACACGAGCCTCGTTCTGCCCATTCTAGAGGCTGGAGCCCGCAGGCTGGCACCCCCTGAGGCCGTGGGGGAGCAGACCCCGTGCCACCACGTCGGGGGACCGCCCTGCGTCCCCGCCCCCTCTCCCTGCCTTCAGCGGAGGCCTCCATGTGCTGTGTGGCCTCAGCACTCAGCCAGAGCCCTGTTTCCAAACGAAGTCGCCTTCATGGGGCCCTGGTACCAGGGCTTGGACGCATCTTTTTGGAGCCACGTTCGGTTTGCGGCTGGGGGGCCCAGGTGGACCCCACTGTGTCCCCAGGGCTCAGGAGAGGCTCAGCGAGCTGCTGTCCCCTGGACCTGGGCGCTGGAAACTCCCTCATAGGACCAGTGGGAGCTGCCCGCCCTGGCCAGGGCTTGGCGGAGGCTGCATGTCCCCCCATGAGACCGGCTGTCCCCTCCACTCCCCACCAGAATCTGGGCACGGAAGCAGCTGCCCTGGGAGCCAGGTGACTCCTGCTTCCCACGAGCGGCTGCCCCTCACTGCTCCCCCCGTGGGGCATGGCCCGCAGACCGGGCGGGGGGTGGGGAGTGGGGGGTGACCTTCCCCGGGGCTCTCTCTGGAGCTCCGGACAGCTAGGAGCCGTCCCTGCAGAGCTGCGCTGGAGGCGGGCGGGGCTGGAGGCCACTTGGCAGGATGCTGTGGGGGGCAGAGGACTGTGCGTCCTCCCTGCGGCTCCCTGGCCCCTCCGTCACCGCAGCAGTGCTATCCCCGCTCCGCCTGGCTGGGGGCCTCCTCTGGTGCCCCCGGTGCTGCCAGGCCGGCCACTCTGCTGACTCATCCTCTCCAGAGCTGACGATGCACCGCCACCCCCACCCAGGGAAGCCCAGGCAGGAGGGGCGACGCCCTGCAGCCCCAGCCGGCGGGGTGTGTCTGCTGTGTGCCCCAGGAACTGCCCCAGCGCCGGGCCCCGCCCCGCACAGAGGCCCGTGAGGCGGCGGGGGAGTGGGCCACCCTGAGCTCTGCTCACAGCCCCAGAGGCACAGCTGGGGAGGGCGGTCCATCCTCTGTCCAGGCGTCAGTGCCGCCCGGAGTGGTCCTGCTGGCCTTCATGGCCGGACCTGGGGGGGGCAGAGAGGGTCCACCCCGCTCCTCCTCTGGGTCAGCAATGGACTCAGGTGCTCCCTGTCCCCATGAGTCTCGAGGTGCTGCTCTCTGTCACCCGGGCCAAGAAGCAGGTGACACAGGGCCAGGGGCCGGGCGCACTGGGCCACAAGGTGGCAGTGTGCTGAAGTGTGTGACCCTCTCCCTGGGCAGGAGGGACAGGGCTGGCCTGTGGCAGGAGGAGACTCAGGTGGTGGGGGGCCCAGGCCTGCGGCAGGAGATGGAGGGAGGGAGGGTAGAGGGACTGGGAAACGGCTGGAGCAGGGCCCGCCAGCAGGTGACAGGACCTCTGTCTGGGGAGTGACGGGGGCCTGCCTGGGGGACAGGAACCGCAGGAGGGGCAGCTGTGCAGGGCCTTCAGAGTAGTGGAGGCGGAAACAGGGCCGCCCCAGGGCCAGCTCGGTTCCCCCGGTTGGGCCCACACCACAGGACGCCACCTGGGGATCTGGTGGCCTGAGTGAGGCATGGCCCAGGGCGGTCCTTCCCCGTGCTTGGCTGGCCCTGGAGGAGCCTGGGGCCCCTGCGTGGCCACCCACAGGCAGGCTGGCTGGGTCCCAGGGACGGTGCGGAGGCTGCCAGGTTGTGTCTGGAGGTTGGAGCGCAGTGGGCGTGTCCCCATCGGTGAGGACCTCTCGGCACGTCCTGGATGCCAGGAGTGTGGGGTCCCGCAGGTGGCTGTGCCGTCACCACACTCAGGACTCGGGCCAGCCTTCAGGGAGGAGACGTCAGAGGTTAAGTGCCCAAGTGCAGGAAGACTGGTGGATGGAGACCGGGCTGGCTCCACCCGGGACAGAGCTCTCCCTGGACAGACGGACAGGTGGCCTGCGCTGACCTGTTACAGGGAGGCTGGGATGCCCTGGGAGGGCCCTGGGGGCTGGCGGCCATGGGGTCACCTGCGAGGGCCGGGCCCAGGCAACCGGCTGGGAGCAACCACAAAGGTCTTTGTAAAAGGGGCGAAACTGTAGGAACCCATCCCAGTTCTCTCTGGGGGAGGCTCGCCCCCGGGGTCCGCCTGCTTTCGCGGGTGGGCTGAGGCTCCCCGAGGGCGGGCGAGCCCCATCCTGCAGGGGAGCAGGTGGCCAGCACCCTCGGGGGCCCCGCCCCTGCCCACCCCATCTGCCTCGGCTCCTCCCTCTCCCTGTTTTCTGTAAAGATGATAATTAGAGGTAAAACACCAGTTGGATAACAGCCTGAGCTTGTGGAGGGCTGGGTGACGGGGGCTGCCTGGACCTCCCCAGCAGGTGCTTTCCGCCCCCCGAGGTCTCACGCCCGCCCCAGGGACCAGCAGGAGGCCGGGAACCCCCGTCCCCTGCAGAGATCCGGGGCTGTGGGGGACCAGCGCACCGGGCAGAGCCACTGCCCAGGGGCGGGGCAGCTTCAGCAAGGGGCACTGCCCTGCTGGACGTCAAGGGCACCCAGGAATCTGTTGGGGAGGGAGCCACTGGAGTTCTGGGACACTGGGCCATGGGTCCTGGCCGCCTGGCTCTGGCCGCAGGCCCCCGAGCACCTCTGAAGGAACACCAGCCCTGGCCCACAGCCTGGAGCTCATCAGCGGCCATGTCCACTGTCCCTTCATCCTTCCCACCTTTGTGGGCAGTGTGCACCAGTCGGTGACCTGGCAGCCGCTCTGCCTTGTCTGTGAAGCTGGGAGGCTGCGGGAGCCCAGCTCACAACGTCCAGGGGCCCAGTTCTGCCTGGCAGAGGGCAGCCTTGCCTGCCTTTCTGCTTTCGGAGTGCCGGCCAGCAGGCACCGGGCTCTCTGCCTGTGGGTCCGAGCCCGTGTGTCCCTCTCTGGGAGCAGGACAGCCCCCTGCAGGTCTGTGGCGCTGCCTCCCAGGGACTCGTGGTGGGAGCATGGGCGCCTGTGCGTGGAGTCGCTGGGCAGGCCTGGCGCCCCGCAACCAGCGTCCTCCATCCCGGTCTGTGCATTTCGGGGGTGCTGCTGTTTCCACGTCTCTCCAGAAGCTGCTGACCGGCCCTTGCACTGTGCCGTGTGGAGACATCTCGGTGTTCCCACGTTTTGCCGAATGAATGGCTGTGCCCTGTGGGGTTTCTTGGGCTCACAGGTGGGCGTTTCTGGAACCTCTTCCCCAAAACCCACCCCGTCGGGCCTCTGTCCTGGGCACCGGGGACCCGCAGGACCCCGTCCCTCTCCGGCGAGTGGCCTTTGCCTCCCGGCACTGCTGTTCCCTGGTTCCTCTTGGCCGGTCGACCTTGTTTTGGGGACTCGCTCGGCAAGTCTGCCTTGAACTCCGGTCGCACCGGCCTGTTTCCTGTGTCTGGGCTGAGGAGGGGAGGGTCGGCGTCCGCCTGCCCTGCTGGGCCTGGAGGCGGGGAGTCCAGGCTGCTGGTGCCTCCTGCCCCACGGGAACCACGGGGCTCCTGAGCCGATCAGAGGCCACTGGTGAGAGGGCCCGGGAGCCTGCAGCGGTTCCCAGGCGGGCGCCGGGCTCAGCGGGCTCAGCCTGCTGGGCGTCTGTCCTCCCCAGGGCTGGAACTTTGGGGCCCCAGGCCAGGCTCCCCCACTCTGAGCCGGGCTGCTGTGCCTCTGGGGGACACGGCCTGACCTCCCCGCCACGGCCAGGGAGCGGCTGCGGCTGCTGGAGGAGCAGGCCTCGTGAAGTGTGCCGGGAGGAGACAGGGTACACGGCCGGAGAGGGGCTGGGACGGGTGGTCGATTAGAGACAGAGGACAAGGGCTCTGGTACGTTGGTAAGAGCTGCCCCCCGCCCCGGTGTAAAAAGGGAGGAGGCTAACCCAAGCAGTCGGGGACGGCGAGAAGGTGTCCCCGTCACGTCAACAAGGGAGGGGGAGCACGGTGGGGCCACCTTCTGAAGCCAGACATGAGAGAGTGGGAGCCCCCAGCGTTCCTAGAAGGGCGGCCCAACATGGCTCTGGTCCCTCAAGACAGCGGGCATCAGCGTGAGGCTGCGGCGCCGCGGTCACAGGTGGCCCCTCGCATAGCAAAAGGTCCCCTAACTGGGCAGGGGCAGGGTGCCGGGGTCCGAGGCCACAGGGAGGCCCAGCAGAGGCCAGCTGGCAGGGGCGGGTGACCGGGAGAGGCGGGAGTGGCACGTCCGGGCACAGGGGAGGCAGGCGCCCAGCCGTACTGACACAACTTGGGGCCGAGGGTCCTCGCAGTGTGGCCAGGAGCACAGGGTCAGCCGGACGTCCCCCCATGGAGGGGCCGAGGTGCGGCTGCCTGGACAGCCGTGGGCTGGGCCGAGTCCCACAGGCCGGAAGGAGGGTGGTGGGTGGGGGCAGCAGAGTGGGGAAGGCCGAGCCCGCTGTGGGAGGGACAGTGGGGGGGGGCAGAGCTGGACACAGGCTCCGCAGCGGGGGCGTCGCGGCCACTGAAGGCCTGAGGGAGGGACTCGAGGCTGGGCGGGGCGCGGGAACACAGAGCTGTTCTGGGCTGTGACCAGAGTGGGGGGGGCAGGCAGTAGCCCCAGGGGTCCAGCTGGAGGCCTGTCGTGGGGGAGGGACGGGGCAGGAGCCAGACTCCGAGTGACAGTCTGGGCTTGGGAGCCAGGGGGGTCCTCCCTGGTCAGGGCCCTGGGTGGGGGGAGGCCGAGGCCACCCCCAGGAACACCCTGGTCCTGGAGGCCCTGGGCACAGCAGCCCAGGGCGCGTCTGATGGGCTTCTCTCCCCTCCAGGCCTCGTGAAGCTGGGGATTCACTGTGTCACGTGCCAGAAGGTGGCCGTCAAAATTGTCAACCGGGAGAAGCTCAGCGAGTCTGTGCTGATGAAGGTGAGGGGGGTGGGGGGCAGGGGGCTCTCTTCGGCAGGGCTGTGCCCCCCAGAGCCCAGCCTGTGGGGTGGCTGCTATTCTTCCTCATCCACTCTGAGTGGGGGCTGGGCACGTGGGGGCAGGCGACGGAGGCAGGTGGCGGTGACGCCGCCCTGGCACCCACGGGGCTGCGTGTGGTGCCACGTGTGCTGTCCCGTCCCACTGGCTGTAGACCCCGAGGCTAGCCTGGCCCCACGAGCCCACGGAGGTGTCCCCAGCAGCCCAGGCTCCTGGCCTGGCGGGCAGGGTGGGGCAAGGTCTCCGGGGACCAGCCCCCACCTGACATGACGCACCCCCCCCACACACCTGCAGGTGGAGCGGGAGATCGCCATCCTGAAGCTCATCGAGCACCCTCATGTCCTGAAGCTGCACGACGTCTACGAAAACAAAAAATATTTGTAGGTATTGCTGGGCGTGCAGGGCTGGGGTGGCCGGGGCGGGGGGCCTGCGGGCCTGCGGGGGGGACAGGCGGCGGGGCTGAGAAGGGCAGTCTCAGCGGAGCCCAGACAGTGGTGGTGCTGGTCCTTGACCAGACCCCGGGACAGGGCTTCCCGGAGGAGGGGTCAAGGGCCAGGGGCCCCAGCAGGGCACCAGCGGCCTGGCCCGTGTTCACCTTCGGATGGGCGGGTGACCAGCTAGCTGCCTGTGGGGGGGGCTGTGAGCAGCAAGGACACCGTCACCCCAGGCGGGTCCGACACTGGTGAGCGGAAGACACTTGGCCAACCTTCATACTGTGTCCAGGGTGCCAGTGGGGGGTTAGCTCACCCCACAGTGTCCCGTGAGAGTGGGTGCGGGCAGGGGCCGGGGCGGGCCTGGTCCGCCTCCTGCAGGACACGTAGGACGCTGGTCACCTCCTCACTACTGTCGAGATGCTTTTGAGGACGGACACCCAGGGACGGGGGGCAGAGCAGTTGGCTCTGAGGAGACCCCCTGGGAGGGCCCAGGAGGACAGCCTGAGGAGGGTCTGGCCTGGGCAAAGACCCCCGTGGCAGGAAAGGATGCTTAGGATGAAGGTGGGCAGGGGGCCATTTCGGGTGCTCTGGAGCCAGCCCCTCCCAGGGGGCCCCAAGTCCCAAGGCTGCCGGCAGCCTGGAGGCAGGGCCCCAAGGTCAGCGCCCCAGCAGGCCCCACTTCCTGCTGGGCCTTCTGCTCCCGCCGGGACCCCACCGGGGACCTCTGCCATGTCTCCAGCCCCTCCCCCACCTCTTCTCTGCAGATGGGCTCCGTAGGCCCCGGGGAGGAGGGCTGTGCCCCGCCACAGTTCTGCAAGACCAGCTCTGGAGGCAGCTGGTTCCCTGCTCCCCTCCCCCCTCCTCCACTGCCCCTCTGCTCCCCTCCCCAAACACTGTAGCCCACCAGGACCACCACCCGGGGGGCTCACCAGCGACTCCTAATGGCATCCATGCAGCCCCCTCGTGCCTTATCAAGCTCCTGAGGCCCCCCAGGCTTCAGTGAGTCCCGGGACCACCTCCTGCCTCACCCCAGACACCTGCTCCCTTGGGCTCCACCAGGGGAGTTTCAGCCCAGACAGCCGCTGCCACCCTCAGAGGAGCATGGGGTCCCCCCACCCCCCGCTGCCACCCTCCCCCAGGAAGGCTTCCTGCCCTCTACCTTTCGACCTCTGTTACCCCACCCCCTGCCCCCTGCCCCCGGCCCCAGCTACACCCTGCTTCAACCCCCTGCGCAGGTTTGAGGGCCCAAGTGTATGACCCACCTGCTGCTCTAGGGGCTCAGCCTGGGCTGGCCAGTGTGGAGCCGGATGGGGAGTGGTTTGCCCGAAAGGGCCAGGCCCCAGCTCCAGGAGGGTCAGCGACCACTGTCCCCCTCTCAGCCCAGCGTCGGGGACAGCTGGGGCCCTGCGCCCAGGCCCTAGCTCCAGGGGCTCCTGCAGATGCTGCCCTGAAGGTGGGCCTGCCAGGAGGGGCGGGCGGGGGCCCTGGAGCTGGGGGCGGCCCCAAGGTGGGCCGGGTAAACGAGTGCGCCCACCTGACGCTCACTGCCCGGCAGATACCTGGTGCTAGAACACGTGTCGGGTGGGGAGCTCTTCGACTACCTGGTCAAGAAGGGGAGGCTGACCCCCAAAGAGGCCCGGAAGTTCTTCCGGCAAATCATCTCGGCGCTGGACTTCTGCCACAGCCACTCCATATGGTGCGGGCCGACCCCACGTGACCCACCCCACCCCCAATCCCCGGTGCCCGGGCGGACCACAGTCCCTCCCCTCCTGAAGCCCCTCTCGCACCAGGAAGCCGCCTCCTCCGCCGCCTGGTGGCGTGGGCCCCGAGGTGTGGGGGGAGCAACGAGGGGGGATGCTCCAGGGGAAGACAGCGCAGCGAGCCGCTTTGGCACGTGTTGGTCCCAGTCCCTCCCAGGCCCTCTGCAGCCAACCGCCAGGCCGGCGACTTCTGATTGGCTGCCTGTAACGTCACCAAACTGGACTGCCATTGGTTAGGCGCTGTGGGACCGGGCTTGTGGGAGGGATCTGGTTAGCCCTCTCCGCCTCCCTTTCAGCCACCGGGATCTGAAACCAGAAAACCTTCTGCTGGACGAGAAAAACAACATCCGGATCGCAGACTTCGGCATGGCGTCCCTGCAGGTGGGGGACAGCCTGCTGGAGACCAGCTGCGGGTGAGTGGGCACCCTGCGCTGGCGGCGCCCCCTCCCGGCCGCGGCCGACCCTGCAGCCCCGGCTCCGCTCTAGCACCCCAAGGCCTGGGTTGCAGGCAGGACCCCTGGCTCCGCTGCAGGCGGCGGCTCCGATGTGCGTTGCGGCGAGGGGGCTGCAGGTCACCCGGGTAGCCGCACGGGCTCTATCCGCTCATTGGTGGTGCTGGGAGGTGACTCCCGTACACCCACGTGGCCCGTCGAAGGACGTCTGTCTTCGCCCCTGAGTAGGGGGTGGGGTGACCGCAAAGCCCCTTTAGGCTATTGGTGGGCTTGAGGGCCCGGCAAGGGAGTGTCCTTCCCAGGCAATGTATGCGGGGCAGTGGGGAGGCGCCCCTCTTTCAGCGTCCACCTGCTGTGGGCCTGGGGCCACCCCGAGGTCCTGGCTGCGCGGACAGAGTCTGGAGCCTGCGCCCTGACCGCTGCTTTTGCCTCCAGGTCCCCCCACTATGCCTGCCCCGAGGTGATCCGGGTAAGTATAGTCACTCCGTGCATCAGACCTTGCCTGTCCCAGGGGCTGCCCCCCACCCCCGCCCGGGCAGTCCTGAGACCCTCTGCCTGGGCCCCTCATTACCTGCGAAGCTAACCGCACCGCCCTCCGCAGGGCGAGAAGTACGACGGGCGCAAGGCGGACGTGTGGAGCTGCGGGGTGATCCTGTTCGCGCTCTTGGTGGTGAGCGCACCCTGTCCACGCCCCGCCCCTCACCCCATGTCTCTGTCCGGTCCCCAGACCCCACCCGCGGTGACCCTGTTCCCTGCCTGCAGGGGGCGCTGCCCTTCGACGACGACAACCTGCGGCAGTTGCTGGAAAAGGTGAAGCGGGGCGTGTTCCACATGCCGCACTTCATCCCGCCGGACTGCCAGAGCCTGCTGCGCGGCATGATCGAGGTGGACGCGGCGCGGCGCCTCACGGTGCGTGCGGCCGCGGAGGCTCGGAGGGTGCGGGCCTGCGCTGCCAGCCCAGACTTCGGGCCCCTCCATGCCGCCTTTCTGGGCAGGGAGGCCTGCGCTTGCCAGTGTGGTGCAGGGAACCCCGAGTGTGCACGGGTGTGTGTGCTGTACACAAGCGTGAGTGCACGGACAGCTGTGCGCGCGTGCGCAGAGAGAGTGGGTGTGTGCCTACATGCATGCACATGTGGTTGTGTACAAGTGTATGTGTGGGTGCGCAGACAGGCGCGAGTGCGCATGTGCGTGAACCTGTGGTTGTTTGGACATGTGCTTGGGTTTGTGGGAGCACACGTGCATGAGCGCATGCACAGCTCTGGACACACTCGTGAGAACGGTTTGTGGGTGTGCGCGCCCATGCGCGGGTGCAGTGGTGGGTGCGTGTGGCCACGCACAGATGCATGCCCCTGTGAGGGTGTGCCGGTGTGAATGTGTGCGCAGACAGGTGAGTGGGCATGTGCACCTGCGGCCTGGGTCCTGCAGGGGCAATTGTGGAGCGATGGCTGGGCCTGGTCGGCCTTACCCCACCCCTTCCCGGCCAGCTGTCAGCGGGCGTGGTCCGGGCAGCAGCCCTGGGTCTGGGGCTTGTGGGCGGCGGGGCGTTGAGGAAAGCCCCACTTCTGACAGCAGCCTAGTCAGGGGCAGCTGGGGCCAGGGTGTTTAGGTCCCTGTGCAAGGGCAGCAAGACCCCCTGGGCTGGCCTCTCCAGGACGAGGGTGGCCGGTGACCAAGAGGCCACCTTCTCCCGCCCTCCCCAACCCGGCTGTCAGCAGGCTGGTGGAGATCTCCTGGGGAGGGGGGCCTCCGCCCCAACCCCTCCCGCAGGCGGGCCGCCCGGGCTTCCCTCTGCTCTCCTCAGCCTCCCGCCCCTGCCTGCAGCCCCCCCCCCCCTGGCATTCCTCCTCCTCCTTCCGAGGGGTAGACAGTCAGGGGGCTGAGAACACAGAACCCTCCACCCCCACCCTCTCCTCCATCTGCACCCTCAACCTCCCTTCACCGCCACCCCGGCCCCCCTCCCGCTCTCTCGCACTCCCACCTTCCTCCGTGGTGGTCCCCCCTCCTTTGCGTGCCCCCCTGCTCCTGCTCCCTCTGGCCTCCTAACGTGGGCTCCCCGCCCCCCCATACTAACGTCCTGTTTCTCTCTCTTGTAGCTAGAGCACATTCAGAAACACATATGGTATATGTAAGTAGCCTTTCCTGCCCCCCCCTCGCCTGCTCTGCCTGCTGCTGCAGCCCAGGGGGCCTGCCAGGGAAGGTGGGGGGAGGACCCGGCCCAGCACAGGCCTGTCCCGGCTGCGCTCAGGGGTTCCAGCAGGCCAGCCTGCGCTGGGCACAGCAGGACTCAGGAGGCGCACAGGGGCTGGGACAGGGAGAGAGCAGCAGGGCTCAGGGCCCCCAGGGGCGGGCTTGGGGGAGGAGGCGCAAGCTGGCTGAGGCCAGTGACCACTAGGGGCGCCCTGTCATCCACAGAGGGGGCAAGAACGAGCCTGAGCCGGAGCAGCCCATCCCCCGCAAGGTGCAGATCCGCTCGCTGCCCAGCCTGGAGGACCTCGACCCCGACGTGCTGGACAGCATGCACTCGCTGGGCTGCTTCCGAGACCGCAACAAGCTGCTGCAGGACCTGCTGTCCGAGGAGTGCGCGCCGGGGCCCCTCGGGCGGGGTGGGCGGGCCGAGGCTGGCCCGGGCTCACCGCACTGCGGGCCCCCCCGGGCCCTCCGCCCCTGCAGGGAGAACCAGGAGAAGATGATCTACTTCCTCCTCTTGGACCGGAAGGAAAGGTACCCCAGCCACGAGGACGAGGACCTGCCCCCCAGGAACGAAATAGGTACAAGGCCCCTGGGAGGCCGCCCTCCCCCCCCTCCCCGCGCCGCCCAGACCCGGGGCTGCTGGCCTGACCCCTGTGCCCCGCAGACCCTCCCCGGAAGCGTGTGGACTCCCCGATGCTGAACCGGCATGGAAAGCGGCGGCCGGAGCGAAAGTCCATGGAGGTGCTCAGTGTGACCGACGGCGGCTCCCCGGTCCCGGCGCGCAGGGCCATCGAGATGGCTCAGCACGGCCAGAGGTGCGTGCCTGCGGGGGGAACCGGTGCCTGCTTGGCTGGTGCCCTGGCCGCCTCAGCGATGGCCGTGCTGGGCCTAACCCCTCTCTGCCCCCCACCCCCTGGCCCTGGGGCTGGGCTGGCTGCACTGGGCCGCACGAGCTCGGCTGGGCTGGCCTGGGCAGGGCTCTGCTTCGTTGGGCAGGGCTGCGTTGGGCCGTCCCAGACGGGACTGGGCTAGGCTGGACTACAGAGGACCAGACTGGGCTGAGCTGGGCTGCACTGGACCGGCCGGACCCGAGTGGGCTGGGCCGAGCTGACGAGGGGTGGACTGGGCTGGATCCTGGTCGATTAGAGCGAGAGCCCAGCAGGCCTGTCCCCGCTTCCCACTGGTCCTGTGTTGGGCTCACCTGAGGCTGGGCCAGGGCAGGGAAGTGGGGTTCTGGGGGAGATGAGCAGGTGCGGGCTGTCCCAGCAGACCCCGGGGAAGGCCAGGCGTCCTGGCCCCACAGCCACAGCTAGCCCTGGGTCCCTCCCTCCTCACTGTGGTGTTCTTGCCCAGATGGAGGCTTCCGCTGGCTGGGGAGCACCTTGGGGGGGGGGGTCCAGCAGCCCCGGCCACCTCTCCTCAGCTGGGTGCACAGGTCGGCCAGGCCTCCTGAGGAATTTGCCAGCAAACGGGCATTGCAGGCAGCTGGGCCGCTGTTGGGATGGAACTGGGCCGGTGGCCCCCAGTGGTTCCAGTCTGTCCCCCTGGGGAACCAGGCTGGCCTGGCCCCTGGCCTGGGGTCCCAGCCCTCTGGGGCCCACTGCCGACCTGTTGTGGCATGGGGTGTGGGCCAAGGGAAGGAGCCGGAGGGAGGTCCGCACTCCTGCCCTGGCCACACTGCCCTGCTTGTGGTGGACGCTCCAACTCCCCAGCCAGTTCCCCGCCTGGCCCGTCTGAACTCCACCAGGGCTGAGTGCCAACCGGGCCATTGTGCCACCCTGTGCACTGCCTGTCCCACCTGCCTGGGCTTGGGGGCCCCTGGGGGCTCCTGTTCTGTTGCCCGGGCCAGGCCGCCGCAGGTGCTGGGGTGCAGTGACGGGAACCAGCCCTTTCCTCCCGGGCCTCCTGACCCTGCAGCTCCTGGTCCCTGGGGCTGGCGGTGGGTGCTGGGTGTCCCTCGAGGCTGGCCAGGCCACCCTGGCATCTGTGGCCCTGGTGCCCCCCTGCCCACATCCCCTGGCATCTGTGTGCCCCGGCCTGGGGCCGGGTGGGCCGCCGGCTCGGAGCCGGTGGAGGTCTGGCCTCCGGGCCGCCTGGCGGTGCTCCGGCAGTAACTCTGTTCTCTCGCTTTGTTCTCGCTGTAGTAAAGCTATGTTCAGTAAAAGCCTGGATATCGCTGAAGCCCACCCCCAATTCCGCACAGAAGACAGGTACACACCTTGCCCACCCGCCCCCGCCTCCCAGCCCTCTCCCCTTCGGCAAGGGAGCCTTCCAGAAGCCGGGGGAAGGGCTGGGTCAGGCCAGGCTGAGGCCCCGGAGGAGCAGGGCTGCCGGGCGAGGCGGAGGGGCTGGGAGACCCACTGTGCTCTCCCTGCCCCAGGCCTCGAGGGGCTGCAAGCGTGGGGCCTCTTCTGGCCCACCCTCGAAGTGGCCCAGGTTGACCTCCCCTGGGCGTCTGTCCAGCGCTGGCACCTGGGTCCTGGAGCTGCCCTCCTGCCCACTAGGGCCCCAGTGGAAGCCACAGCCAGAGGCAGCTCAACTGTCCCGAGCCCACTGCAGGCCCCCGAGCTGGTGGCAGGTGTTGTGACGGTCGCAGGGGTCTCTGCACCCCCAGGCCCCCGGAGCCCCCACCCTGCACCTGCCTGGGCACCTGCCCCACCACCCCTTGGCTGTTGCCCGTTGCGGCTCAGTCTCTGGGGTGTAGACGGTGGCCGCCCCCTTCCTCCCTTGCTGTCCTTCGCTTCCTTGTGCAAAACGACAAGCTCACGCTGGCTCATGGGGGGCGAGTGCCAGTCGGCCTGTGGCTGCTGGGGCATCAGCAGGGTCTTGCCGGCCCCCAGCTCTGCTCTCAGCCTCAGAACTGTGGGCCCAGGCCGGACTCTGAGCAGGCTGGGCTCAGGGGCCAGGGCAGGGCAGGGGTCTCGGCCTCTGTGCCTGTGTGAAGTGGGTGGTAGCAAGGTTGTGGCCGCCGGGGTTGGCAGAGCGGCTGGGAGCCAGGCCAGCCTGGCTCTGCTGCTCCCCAAGGCTGAAGCCGGGCCGGGATTGGCTGGGCAGGCTGTCCTTCACTCTCGTGTCCCCGCCTGGGGCTGCGCACGCTGTGTCCCGTCTCCCTCCCCTGAGGACAGGGGTGCGGTAGGCCCAGAGTCTGTCCTGCGGGGTACGCTGCCTGTCTCAGCCGGCACACTGGCACAGCATTCTCCCTCCGGCTGTGCCCAGGCCAGGTCTGCGGGCCAGTGCAGCCAGCGGTGGGAGAGCCCCACAGTCCCTGCCCAGGCCCACGGTGCGAGGGAGGAGAGGGCAGAGGGCTGGCCTGCTGCAGGCAGCCCTGGGCCGGGCGGGGGGACCGTGGTCTCAGGCTGGCAGCCCTGGGCCAGCTTGGTCTGGGGGTCAGGCTGGGCTCAGGGCAGCTGGAGAGTGGTGGGCAGGCCCGGTCCACAGGCTCCCTCCTCCCTCTGTCCACCCGAGTGCCCTGCAGGCCCCAGCAGAGGGCCCTCTGCTGGCTTGGGCCCCGGGCCGCAGCTGCAGTGTGGTGGGCAGGAGCCCCGGCTGCCCCCCTGGGCCTGGTGGGAGGCGGGGTGGGGACAGCGGGGGGCCCGGGCCTCCGGGGCAGTGTGCCTGTGGGAAGAGGCGCCGGGAGCCCGCCGCCCGCCCCGACTGAGCGCCGCTCGGCGCCTGTGCCCCTAGGTCCAGATCCATCAGCGGCGCCTCCTCCGGCCTCTCCACCAGCCCCCTCAGCAGCCCCCGGGTGAGTGAGCCCCCCACTGCCGGCTCCCAAGCAGAAGGCGCCCGGGAGGGGGGCCCGCGTGTGCTGCTGCCGCCCCACGGGCTCTGGCTGCTCTTGCTAACTGCACGTTCTTTGTTCTGTTCTGTGTGTGTTCTCGTGTGTCCCCCGTTTTCCTTCGTGGCAAACGCTGCCCCCCCCCCCGCCTGCGCCCACGGGTCTTCCTGGTGCTGTGTATGCATGCGGGGTGGGGCGGGTGGACGGGCGGGTGGCGGGCCCCTCCTGCCCTCCGTGCCGCCCTGTAGCCTGCTAGGAAGTTTGTCCTGCCCCCCCCGCCCCCCGAGCTCCCCTTCGTGGCCTGCACCCTGGCCACCTCCGTGGAGCCTGAAGCTTGCCGGAGCGCCTCGCGGCCCGGACACGTCCTCCCTCTACAGGCCGCCCCGCGGCCCCACCCCAAGACCCAGACCTTGCCGAGCAAGGCCAAGCTGACCGACAAGCCTCTGCAGGGCACCAAGTCCACCCCGCTCCCGGCGGGCTCCCAGGCCCGGCCCCCGGGCCCCCGCGGCCTGGGCCCCCCGCTGGCCTCGGCCCCGGGGCTGGCTGCCCCGCCTGCCCCCACCCGGCTCCCGCCCGCTGGGACGGAACCGAACACTAAATCTGTCCCCACCATACAGGTGACCCCTCACCCCTCTCCAAGGGGTAGTCCCCTCCCTACCCCCAAGGGGACACCCGTGCACACGCCCAAGGAGAGCCCGGCCGGTACGCCCAACCCCACGCCGCCGTCCAGCCCCAGCGTCGGAGGGGTGCCCTGGAGAACGCGGCTCAACTCCATCAAGAACAGCTTCCTGGGGTCGCCCCGCTTCCACCGCCGGAAACTGCAAGGTGAGCTCGGGGACAGGCCTGGGGGCGGGTGGACCCCCCCCAAAGCACTGACGGTGGCCATGTCCACTGAGCTGGCACAGGCCTGGGCAGCACCCCCAGGTGTCCGCATGTCCCCCACCTTCCCAAAGTGTGTCCTGCCCGGGTGGTGCAGACCTGCCCGCCCCACCTTGGGGGGCCCCCTGGGTCCCCAGCTCCTCTTCAGCCCAGTGGTCTCCTTGGGGGGGCTGCCCGAGGCCCAGGGAGAAGTGGCTGTGGGGCGGGTGTGGGCACAACGGTCAGGAAATCCACGGGGTTGAGGAGGCAGCCTGTCTGCGCGCCAGGTCAGCAGGCACAGCCCGGCCGTCGGGGCCCACAGCACCACCGAGGGGCGGGGCATGGGGCCCCTGCCAGCTGCTGGGGTGAAGGCCAGAGTGGGCAGGGGAGGTTTCAGCCCGGAGGTCAGGATGGTCACCACACCTTCTCGTCCTGTTGCTTCTGTGCTCGCAGTTCCAACGCCAGAGGAGATGTCCAACCTGACCCCGGAGTCGTCCCCTGAGTGAGTGGCCCTGCCTGAGGGTTGTCTGGGGGCTGTCTGCACCCTCCGGGTGCTGGGACGTTGAGGGCACAGGGGAGGCTGTAGGGGACCCCCGCCGCATCTCTGAGTCACCAGGCAGGGAGCGGCCTGCGTGGGGGACAGCCGTCCTGGGGACAGTCTGGTCTACTCCGAGGCCATGGCCTGTGTGGCTGAGCGCAGCCTGCACACGCGGCAGCCTGCGGGGCCTGGCCCACTCCCACTCCCACTCCCACTCCCACCGACAGCTGGGTGTGGAGAGGCCCCCGGGCCGGCCGGGCTGGCTGCGCGGGGCAGAGCAGAGCCTGGAAGGTGGCTGACGTGCGGGGTCGTCGGTGGCCTAGGCTGGGGGCAGCTCGAGCCCTCGGATCTCATCCCACGAGAGGGCGTGGGGGCCGTGATGACGGGCAGCGGGCTGCGCCCTCCAGACGGTCTGGACGTGGGGGTGTCCCTCACACAGTGTCTGCTGTGAGGCTGGAGAGTCCTACCTTCCCCAGCTCCCATCCACGGTGCGGACACAGGGTAGGGTGCGGGGACTGGCCGGGCCATCGCCTCGACCTCACGTGGGCAGCGAAGGCAGCCGGGCCGACTGTGCGAAGGAGAGGCGGGGACCCCGGCCCAGGCGGCGGCGTGGGCAGCGGGCTCTGCAGCCCTGTGGGGCGACCTTCAGCCTCCAGTCCCTGCTGCCGGGCAGGGTTTCCCGAAGGTGCTGGCCGCAGAGCGGCCAGACGTCTCAGAGGAGTTCCCCACCACGCACCAGGGCCCGCGGTGGCCAGCAGCGGCAGCCCCTCCTTCTCATCCAGTCCTGGCCGGAGGGCCTGGGGGCAACAAGCAGGTGCAGTGGCCCTGGGAGCTGGGGGCAGCGTCACCCCTGGCACCTCCTCCCGCGCAGGATGGGCCTGCAGCTGCCAGGGGCCCTGTGTCCATTGGGGTCACCGTGAAAACCAGGACGGAGCGGGCACAGGCGCGTGCGGCGGGGCTGAGATTGGGCTCCGCGGCTGGAGGCGGTGTGCAGGCTGGCGGGGGGGACCTCGGGTGGCTGTCGCGTCACTGTCTCGGGGGGAGGTCCCCCTCCTCAGGGAAACTCCACCCACACTCTGGAGGCCGGCTGCTGAGTGGACAAGGCCCACTGACGGCCATCAGCTCCACCCAGACTCGCCGACCGTTACGCCCGCAGGACGTCTCTAAGAAGCAACACCCACACTGGCACAGACAGGCCAGGGTGGCACCTGGGGTCGCCGTCACAGGCCTGTGCCCACACGCCCTCCACCAGCCTTTCTGGCTCAGCCGGGCTGTGTCAGCCAGGGGACCGATCCTGCCAGATGCCAGGCCACTGGGGGCCGGCGGCAGTTTCCATCTGTCCCCTTCAAGAGAGGAGCGGGCAGGGCCCGAGCTGCGGGCCCCAGGCCCCAGCACAGCCTGGGGGTGGCACCGGTCCGCTGGGCCAGGGCCCTCCCTCAGGGACAGGGCAGATGAGCCGACAGACGCCAGGCAGGGGGAGGAGGTGGCCAGGTGACGCGCCAGGCCCGCAACTTGTTGCCGTCCGTGTCTTGTGTCGGGATCGCTGGCCAGGCTGACAGAAGATGGGCCTTTATTGGCAGGCGGCTCGGTCACTTGTCGTGGTGGCCCAGGAGCAGCTCTGGGTACGGGCAGGGTGAGGGGAGATGTCACTCAGCCAGGTGACCACTAGCCACACCCCAGGCCAGCACAGAGCATCGCGGGGCACCCGCCACCACCGCGAGGCAGGATGCCGGGCCTGGCTGCTGCTGCTGCTGATCCTGGCTCTGGCCAGCGGGCGGTGCCCTGGTTGTGCGTCCACACCATAGCTGCAAGGGAGGCGGCCGGAAGGCAACAGGGTGTGTCAGCCAGCAATGGATAGCTGCGTGACAAAAGGCTCCAACCTGGCCCAGTGTGACGCGGTGCCCGCTCGCCCTCCAGTCTCTGTGGTCGACTGGGCTCTGCTTCAGGGAGGCCTGAGTGCGGCCGTCCCAACGGCCCAGGAGCAGGACTGCAGTGGGCAGGATTCGGGTCTGCGTGGGTCTCTTACCCATCAGTCTGCCCCACCAGAAGGCGGGACACCAGCCAGCAAGAGGCGAGTCGCAGTCTTGTGACCAGATCTTGGAGATGGCATCCACTTTCCCCATTTCTTCTGGTCAGACAGCAGCCACTGGCCCTGCTTGGGCCCCAGGAGGGCCGTCCTGGAGGGAACCAGGAGGCGGGGGGCTGGCGGGGTCTGTCGCACACTGTGTGGGCGGTCGCTGCGGGGGAAGGCTCTACCTCCAGGGGGGCCCCAGACCCAGGACACAGAGACGGGGTCGGCGCGATGACCAAATGGAAGCCCTGAGCACAGTGGTGTAAGGGGCCGGCTGGAAGGCGCTGCCAGCTCTGGGGTGTGGCCCTGCCCTGCGGGGTAGCTGGCCCCTGGGTCTGGTGGGACTCCAAGTCCCACGAGGTGGCCTGAGCTGGGGCAGTGGGAGACAGGCAGCTGGGTGGCCACCCGGCCCTGAGGATGGAGACAGAGGGTGGCCTAGGGGACTGTTCTGCACCAGGTCTCAGCTGTCAATAGCCACCCCCATTCCCCACCCCCCTCGCTCCCCGCTCCCCTTGGCCCTGGGTGGGGGCACTGTCCTCAGGGTGGCTGGGGGACGGCTGCCGACCCAGTACCCCAGGGGGCAGAGAATTTACCATGTAGGGGCGAGGCTGGGGGGTCAGGGGACACTCTCCTCCCCTTCCTGCTGGGGCTCCAGTGGGCGCTGCCTGGGCCCGGCCAGGGGAGAGTGGGCGTGAGGCCCCGGGGCCGTGGGACTGGCCATGGGGCTGCAGAGTCGGTGAGCAGGGGGTGTCGGAGTCCAGGGCGGATGCAGGTGGCGGTCGGGGGGTGGGGTCATGGTCGGGCCGGGGATCATAGGCCAGGGGGCAGGTGTGAGCAGCCCCCTGCCCACCCCCAGGCTGGCCAAGAAGTCCTGGTTCGGGAACTTCATCAGCCTGGAGAAGGAGGAGCAGGTCTTCGTCGTCATCAAGGACAAGCCTCTGAGCTCCATCAAGGCCGACATCGTGCATGCGTTCCTGTCGGTGAGCCTCCAGCCCAGCCCAGATGGGGTCCCCCCCACCTTGACGAGGCCCCCCCCCCCCCCCCCCCCCGCTGGCCCTGGCCCAAGGGACCGGCTCTGTGAACAGGCCCTGGTGGGGCTGCGCCGGGCCTTGGGGGCGGTGACCCGTCCTGGAGACCGGCCGAAGTGCAGGTGGGCTCCACGAGCTGCCCACCCCGGCTGCAGCCCCGGCCCCCTGAGGGCTGTGAGAACAGGTGGGGGCTCCCCCACCATTTGTCTTCAGGAGCCCGGAGAGCCCAGCACCAGGCAGGGTGGTACCCTGGCCCCTTTGGCCTCCTTCACCCTGCTCTGTCCCCCGGGGCTCGGGGTCTGGGCCTCTGTCCCCCCGCCTCCGCCCCCCAGGCCCTTCCCGGTGCTCCTGGGACAGAGAATTCCCCCGCTGAGTGACAGAGACTCAGCCACTGCCCTCTGCTGCCCAACCTGGGCTGGCCCTTCCAAGCCCAAGTGCTGTGCCCTCCGGGGTGGAGGGCCCTGTCCCGGGAGTCACGGTGACGGGACGCTGCTTGCTGGGTCGTTGGGGCCAGTTTCCTGCGCGGCTGTGGACGCGCAGAGGGGCCGGCCGGGCGCTGACTGCAGCGGCCGGGAGGCAGCAGGGCCCTGGGGGCCGCCTCGTGGTTGGCCCTGTGCCCCAGCCTCGGGGGGCCTGTGCTCGGGGCTGGTGTGGGCTTCAGCCCAGCCCTCCGTCCTCACAGCTAATCTGTGGGGGTCCCCTCTGAGAAGGCTCCGTCCCCGGGGGCCTGGGTCAGGCCTGGTCCCAGCTCCCGTGACCAGACCCCTGTGGGTGCTGCTGGCTGTGGCCTCCCTGGGTGGGTTTCACTGACCGTGCAGGGCGGGTCTGCCCCGTGGGCCCCGGGTCGAGAGGACACCGTGGCGGGGGCCGGGCCCCGCTCACCCCGAGCTGCCGCCCCCAGATCCCCAGCCTCGGCCACAGCGTCATCTCCCAGACCAGCTTCCGGGCCGAGTACAAGGCGACGGGGGGCCCGGCCGTCTTCCAGAAACCGGTCAAGTTCCAGGTGGACATCACCTACACCGAGGGCGGGGCCGCACACAAGGAGAACGGCATCTACTCCGTCACGTTCACGCTCCTGTCAGGTGAGCCGCTGGGCTAGGGGCACGGGCGCCGGCTCCAGCCGGCCTGCCAGGGCTCATCCCGCTGCCCCCCCAGGCCCGAGCCGCCGCTTCAAGAGGGTGGTGGAGACCATCCAGACGCAGCTGCTGAGCGCACACGACCAGCCCCCCGCCCAGCACTCATCAGGTGAGCAGGGCTTAGCCCCAGGCCGGCCCGCCACGCGCCCCTCTGCCCCGAGCGCCGCCCCCAGGGAGCAGGGCCCCTGCGAGGCAGTGGGCCAGCCCCGGCTATGTGCCCAGGGAGGTAGCGCCCAGCACACCGCACTGAAAGGCGCCTCTTGTCCACTGTAGAACCACCCCCACCAGCGCCAGGACTGAGCTGGGGTGCTGGGCTTAAAGGCCAGAAGGTGGCCACCAGCTACGAGAGTAGCCTCTGACACGGGCAGGTAAGGTGTCGGCCCTGCCGCTGGGGCAGGGAGGGGGCTGTGATCAGGCCCCTGGCAGGAGCCGGGCTGGCCCTGGGAAGGGCGCCCTGTGCCCGCTCCCACAGCCGGCGGCCAGCTCCTGGCCCTGGACAGGCTGCACAGGCCCCGAACCCAGGCAGAGTCTACGGACACAGGGAGGGCTGGCCCTGGGCCCCTAGCCAGAGCGGGCTCTGGGGGAGCCCTGGCCCCACGGGGCCCGCTGCGCTGTGCCCTCCAAGGCTGTAGCCCTGGTGCCTGCACCAGTGGACAAGAGGTGGGGCTGCTTGCTGCCTGCCCACCCTCCCCACGAAGAGGGACCAGTGACTGGCCTCGAGCAGGACAGAGGGGCCCGAGGTCCAGCCAAAGCAGGGGCTCCCTAACTGGGTCTGGAGAAGCCACCCAGGAAAAGGGGCCACCCGGAGGCTCAGGAGCCCAAGGGGCCTGGTGCCCAGTGACCAACGAGGGTGTGGGGGAGCCCGTGGCGGGGGCTGGCACGGGCCACCGTCCGTCAGGGAGGGCACGCAGGGCCCGTCCACGGGGCGCTGGGGCGTGGCATGGTGCTGGGACCTGTCCTGAGGTGTGGGGTCTGGGGAGTCAGTGCCTGGCCCAGGTCCTGCCTCTCGGTGGCCCCCGCCCTCCCCCGCCGGGTCCCCGTCCCCTCTCTGTGGGTCCTGGAGGCCAGGCTGGCCCGCGCGTCCACCTTGCCATCCTCATCCCATCGTCTGTCTTGCCACATGACACCCACTTCACCCTGTCACCCAGGCTGTGGGCCCCACCCCACCTGCCATGGGGGCAGGGGCAGGCAAGTCATTTCCACCAAGGACGGGGCAGTGCTAACGGGGAAACTGAGGCCAGGGAGGCACGGAGCCCAACTGGGGAGGGGGGCGGGCCAGCACGTCCGTGCCTGCGGTCACCCGAAGCGTGGTCGGCCCTTGCCCGGTTAGCTCTGGGCCCAAACCCATGTCCTCGGAGACTCCCAGGTACCCGCTGCGGTGCCCGCCACCTCCCTTGCCCTCCGTCAGTGAGTTCTGTGTTGGGGACCCCGACCTGGGACCCCACCCCCAGCCGCCCTCCCACACTGGAGTCTCGTGTCTACCGAGCTCAGTCCCAGAGTCACCATTGGAGGTGGAAGGAGGGACAGTTGTACCAGGCCAGGAGACCTGGTGCTCCCCAAGTCGAGCCCCAAGGGAGCAGCCCTCCCCAGCCTTGCCCCCCCCCCGCAGCCAGGGCCACACTCTCAGGCCCGGCACCAGGTGGGAGGGTCAGGACAAGGGCCTGCTCACTGGCAGGGCGGACACACAGGAGGCCAGCCTAGACCACAGCCAGAGGCCCGGGCCTCCCGGCTCCAGAGGGTGTGTCCTGGACCCAGGGCCGGACAGAGGAGAGGAGGGCCAGGCAGGCCCGGGGCACCCAGGGGCACCCCACTCCACACTGGATGCCTGCATCCTGAGCCCCTCCCACCCCAGGGCCCGGCCCCACCCAGGCGCCCAGCTAAGGCCCTGGCGGGAAGCCTGTTTCACACATGTCCCTCCTCTCTCCATTCTGTGCTCCAGACCCCACTAGCTGTGTGGAGGCGGTGACGGGGAGGCTTTCCAAGTGCGGTAAGAACCCTTGCCGCCCCGGGGGCCCGGCCTCTCCCCCCACCTGCACCTGCTCCCTGCGGGGCGCCGCCCCCGCCACCCCGGGGCTGTCCTGGGGTCTCTGTGGACACACGGCACGCCCAGCAGCCCACCTCTGCCAGAGCAGCCTGTCACCCACCCCAAGGGCAGCCACAGGCAGCCCCAAGGCCAGGGCGGGCCAGGGAGGGTCACCTGTGCAGGCTCTGGCCTGGTCAAAGTGGACTCCAATCTGGGCCCAGACGGCCTCAGGCCCTGTGTGCACTGCAGGGGTGCGGGGCTGCTCCTGCAGAGACCCGAGAGCTCCCCGGGCCACGCAGGCCTCCCCTCCCCACTTGCCAGCGGAGAGAGGCGGCCCTCAGCTCCAAGCTCAGGGAGGGCTCAGGCGCAGGGACGGGAGCTCCCTCCTCCCGACCTCAGGACATTCCCCACTTGGGCTGCCTGCCCCTGGCCATCCCACACCCAGCTGTCCATGCTTGTCCACCCATCCATCCACCCATCCATCCATCCATCCGTCTGTCTGCTGTGTCCACACTGCGAGCCTGGGCTGGCCAGGGGAGGAGGGCGGCAGGCCCATGGACTTGTGCAAAGAGCCAGCCATCGGTCCCAGAGTCCTGCTGGGCCTTGTCCTCATGGCTCTGTCTTCAGAGTGGGCTAGCTGGCCGGCCGGGCTGCGGGCTGACCAGGGGAGACTGGTGGCCGAACTCAGGGTGTGGCTGAGCTGGAAGGGGGGCCTCTGCCTGCCCTGGGCTCCGGCCCCACAGTGCAGAAGCCCACAGGCCCCATCTCTGGTTCCCCCAAACCACCACCCGCCCCCCCGCCAGCCCCTGGCACGGAGGACTCCCCACCCTGCTGGCGCCCGCCCGCTTGCTGTGGCCGAGCCCCGCCCCCGAGCCCGTCTCAGACCTCATCTCGCTGGGTTTTTCTCTCTCCTCCGAGGCCTCCTGTTCATTCGTTTGTTTGTTCTTTCTCTCTCCTTCCTTTCCTCTCTCTTGCCCTTTTTTTTCTTTTTCCTTCTCTTTTTTCTCTTGTCTCCTGTTCTGTGTGCCCAGGCAGCCCACTGAGTAACTTCTTTGACGTAATTAAACGGCTTTTTTCAGACGAGAAGAACGGGCAGGCGGCCCAGGCCCCCAGCACGCCCGCCAAGTGCAGTGCCCACAGTGCCCTCGGCGACTCGGCGGCCGCTGCCCCTGGCCCTGGAGGGGACGCCGAGCGCCCAGCGGGCAAGGACACGGCCAAGACGGGGCCGCCCGCCGCCCGCCGCCAGCAGCCTTAGCCACATAGCCCCTCCCCAGCCAGGCCCTGACAGTGGCCACCAGGGCCCCTGTGCCACCGGCCCGCCGCCCCCCTGTGTGGACCTGGGGCCACGCCCTCCCCTCCATCTAGACTGTGTGAAGCCAGGGAGCAAAGGAAGGGGTGCCGGGGACCGCAGCCCACGGCCGGGCCCGCCGCGCCCGAGCCGCTCTCTCGCTGTCCCCCCTGCCTGTCTCTGACGACGCCACTGTTTCCGCTCTGATACCAGGAATTATCCCGAAAAGTTAACATGTCGACCTCCACGAGGCCGTCCCCTGGGCCCCACGCCGGACGCCGGCCGACAGAAGGCAGCTGCGTGGACCTGCCCCTCCGCTCCCGCCGCCGCCACAGCCTGCCCGGGGGCCAGGCCCTGCCCGCCCTCCGCTGCCCCCGTCCGCCTGCCCGCGCGGCGCTCTGCCCGGTTCCTGCTCCGCATGGCCATGGGGAGGAGGACCTGGCTCCCGGGGGAAGCCGCCCCCGCCCTGCCGACTGGACTTGCAGCGACTAGAGCCCGGGCGGGCCCTGCCTGCCCACCAGGCCGCCTCCAGGGCTGGGCCCGTGCAGGCGAAGCAGCCACAAGGCGGGCGGCCGGTGCTTGCAGCCGCTCCTCGGCCCCCCTCCCCGCAGCACCCCCTCCGCCCTCGACACCGCGGCGCGCCCGCCCTGCCGCCGGCTGACACCTAGTCCTCTCGGCTCACCAGCGGCAGGTGCTCTCGGGCCTGGTGTTCGGTCCTGGCCCGGGTGGAACTGGACCGGAGGCAGTGGGCTGACCGGGAGATCAGTATTATTTATTGGCTGTTTTAACTTATCGAGTTCCTTTACTTCTCTGTTCAGGGAAGGGGCAGCAGCAGCATCCTCCTGCCGTCCGTCCGTCCGTCCGTGTCCTGGGCAGGGTGGGTCTGGGGCCGAGGTGCCCTGAGGACGGAGCCTTGGGACGTCTGGGGCGGCTGGTGGATGCGGCACTGGCAAGCTACTGTAAACTTTAAAGAATTCCTGCAAGATATTTTTATAAACTTTTTTCTTGGTTGTTTTTGGAAAAGGGCATGGGGGAGGGCAGCCGCCGGGTGGGGCGGGGCTGTGTTTGGTTCTTGCTCTCGGTCCCCTCTCTGCACACACACACCTGAACAGCGGCGCCATCGTGCCGCCTGCTCGTGCCTCTGCGTGGGCGCTGCTGCCCAGGGCCCTCGGCCAGGCCCGGCCGGGCACCCTCGTGGTTCTGGGTCCGAGAGCAGGGCAGGAGGAAGGCCCTCACCCGGCCCCACCCACTCACAGGATGGCTGGGGCACTGCAGGGTTTTTTATTAAAATGACAAAAAGTGAAAAAAAACCATAAGCAAGGACAGGAAGTGAGCAGGTCCTCTGCGGCGTGTTTTCTGCGCTCGGCGAGGTGGTGGGCCCGGCCGCCTCGCGCTGTCCCTGCCCCCCGCCCTTGCTTGTGTCCCCTCCCCCCGCTGGCACAGGCCCGGGCGTGAGGACCCCGGCCTGGCAGCATGCCGTCCCCGTGACGGGCCGCTCTGCTTCTGGCGTCGCCCACCCTCTGGCCGTGGGGGTTTTAACGCTGCTGTTACGTGGACGCCCCCACCACGAGCTGGGATTTCCACACGCAAGGAACACGCCTATCGACACCTCTCCCAGCGAAAGCGCACGGTGCCGCGGGAGGGCCGTGTGGAGGCAGAGGACACCGAAAGCAATATCTCGTTGACCCACCCCTTTCGTGCGTGGACGCGTGCACACGCAGACGCCACGGACACGGACACACCCCACCCCGCGCACCCCTGTCAGATAACTGTGAGCAACTTTATTTCCGGAACAATAAATTCCTTCCATAAAGACACCGACGTCAGTCTCCGTGCGGGCAGGGGGCGGGGGTGCGGGCCACCGACCTGGGCCGCAGCTCTCGTCCCCACGGCGTGCCCCTCCGTGCTCCGCCCCTGCTCCCTGTGCGGGCGTCCCTGAGCTGCAGTGCCCTCTGGGCCAGGCTGGGAGCGCGGGGACATGCAGACCTGCGGCGGACGAGGACCACCGCCCAGGGTAGCCACGCCACTCGGCTGCCACCCCGAGACCGCAGTGGTCAATCTGGCGCCTGGGCTCCTCCCCCAAGGGTTAACCGCCCTTTCGATCCTGTTTGGAAAAGTCAACAGGGTGCTGCAGCCCCTGGAAGATATGGGCCAAGGCCAAGGCCGGCTTCCTTCCCAGGGGGACCATCCGAGCAGCTACACCACAAAGGGCAGGCTCGCCCGTGAGGAGGGCAGCAGCGGTCAGGGGTGCCCTTCGGGGCCTGGAGGACGACCGGCCGGGGAGCACACCCCAGCCCAGGAGTCTGAGCACACACCGTGCCGCCCTCGGAGCCCCCGGCCCCACGCACCGGCCCCACGTGCGGATCGGGCCAGCGGGACCAGGGCCCCGCCACAGCCGCGTGGACACCGGGACGGTCCTCCATGGTGGCAGCATCTTGTGCTTTGGGCATGTCAGCACCGTCCCCAAGTCACCCACCCTGGCATGGCCACCCAACCTGTCCCCCGGGGGTGGAGTCGGCCGAGTCTGGCCCGTGTCTCCTGAGCTCACCCACTCCTCTGGCTTTGCAGGGCGCCGGCTGGCGCGGCAGAAGGCCCTTTGGAGAATGGAGGGCTCCACGCTCCATGGCAGATGCCCAGCGTCCTGTGGGGGGAACGTGGTGGCTGGGACCCAGCCCGGGACCCCAGGCTGCTGGTCGAGGAGGAGGGTCCCGACCCTGCTCTGGCTCTGCCTTCCCGGTGTGGGGCCGAGGGCCCACGCCAGCCTCCCTGTCTCCCCCCACCCCCGCCCTCTGGACACTCAGTCCTTTGTGCCAGGCACATGACTGGGGTCTGTCAAGAAAGTGCCACAGCACACCCGCCAGGCCTGCCGCCTGCCCCGCAGGCAGGGCCTCCTCCTCAGCCCCACCTCTGACCTGGCGCCCCTCTAGGCTGGACTCGGCAGGAGCCAGGCCAGTGACTGTCAGCGCTGACACTGACTGACGTGAAGTGAGGGACGTGGGGAGTGAGACGGCAGTCGGGGTGCACGGGGCGCCAGGCGCCGGGAGCCCGAGGCCCCGAGGCCCGGCTGCTGCGGCCTTATGCGTGTTCCGAGAGTTGGGCCAGGAGGGCTCGGGAAGGCAGCAACACAACCCGCACACGGCCGGGGCTGGGAGCAAGGGCCGGGGCCCCCACCAACGGCAGGGTGCCCAGCACAGCAATCACGGGGATGGGAGAGGAAGACAGGACGGTGGCTCGGTCCCTACAGGGCGGGGTGCCAGGGGCCGGCACCCGAAGGGCTGCTCCACTGGGTCCTGACTGGCTGTGCCCTCGGGTAGCCGCGGAGGCCGAGGTAGAGCAGCCCTGGGTCCCGCAGGGCCTCAGGACCTGGGGTGGGGCGGAGGGGCGGCCTCCACATTCCGCGGGTCGGCATCTGGCCACAGCAGCTGTGCCCACGCCACCAGTGCCAGGGAGCGACCGCTGCAGGGGGCCTGGCCCTCCCGCTCTTGCGGCTGAGGGCTCCCTTCCCTCCGCCGTACCCTGGGCCACCAGGACTTGAATCACCAAGTCCAGTGTCCCTTCATTGACATCTCCGCCCTCCCCGCCCACCACCAGCAGGTGGGTTCGGCAAGGGGCAGAAGTCAGCAGGACACAGGGCGGCCAGTGCTGACCTACGGGGAGAGAGGCAGCTGGGACTGGTGGAAACGCCAGCACTGGCCCCGGGCCCAGGCAGGACTGTGGAGTCTGTGCCTCGCGGCAGGGTCCCTGGGTCTGGCCCTGGGCTGGGCGCCACCCAGAGCACCCCCTCGGCACCTGCCTCAGGCCTGCGAGCTCCAGGGCCTGTGCTGCGGCCGTGAGCCTCCCGCGGCCCTGCCAACAGCAGCTTTAGCTCGGGGCCCAAAGCTGAGTCTTGTGAACCGAGCCTCACGGAGCCACATGAGGGGAGCGTGCGGGCCCTCGAGGCTCCGGGGAGCAGGCTGTTTCCTGGCCGTTGCCAGCTTCCAGGGGAGCCTGCCTTCCTGGGCGCAGATCCACCTGCCGCCTTCCCAGCAGCGTCGGCCACCTGCGAGCCTCCTGCTTGCCACCCGAGGGAGCCCCACAGTCACACCGGCCCCCACTCCCCCCACCTCCAGCTCTACCTGTAGCAGTGAGACACTTGGTGACCTTTGCAGGTGTCAGGGACCAGAATGAGGACACGTGGGGAGGTGCCCATCACCCCCCCCCAGGTCCCCACGTCTCGGCCCGTCACGACGGCATGTCAGCCCCACGCTCGTGGAGCTGCGCGATCGGGCAGCCTGGAGCCGCGCGTGCGGCCTTCCTGTCCGAGAAGGCCCCTCCCTTGGGGCCTCCAGCAGCACCCTCGGCACCTGCCTCCAAAGCCAGGGCAGACCAGGTCCCGGGTGCCAGCGGTGGGCACACTGCCCACCTGGTGCCCAGCAGGGTCAGAGCCCAGGTCTGGGAGCCCACGGTGGTGGGCGGCTACTGGGCCCGAGCCTGCCCTTCCCGAAGGTCCCTGCAGGGACAGGGACAGGCCAGTGACAGCTATGTCGACCTCACTCAGACTCCCCAAGAGGCAGGGCTGCAGGCGTTGCAGAGGTCTGGCCTGGACAGACAGGAAATGGGGGGCTGCCCCAGCCCCCCGAGGCCCTGGCGAGGCAGGGAGGGAGGCACACGCCCCAGAGAGATGGCCAGTGGACGCTGCAGGGCAGAGCAGGGCCCAGGAGCCTTCATGCAGGATGGCCTTTCCCAGGGGTTCCAAGCATCAGTCAGCAGGACACATGGGTGGAACCTTCTGGAACAACTCTTGACGTGCACCCTCGGACTGAGTGGGCAGGGCTGGGACTTCCAGCAGCTGGAGTTGGGTGGCTGCTGCCGCTGAGCCTGTGCACCCGCAAGGCAGTGCTCTGGTTCAGGCTGCGGAGGGGGCCACTGTGGGGAGCCCCAGGGCTCTCGGGAGGGGGACAGCCCTCAGGGGCGGGCGAGGGCTGCTGACGGTTCCAGGGAGACAGAGGCCAGGTCCCCACTGGGGAAAGGGTGCACAGGCGGTGAGTGTGTCTGAAACCAACCACCAGCGAGGGCTGCCCACATTGCCAGGAGTGACGCCAGACGGGGTGGGGGCCTGCCAGCGTGCCCGTTCTCTGGCCATCCGCAGCCGGGTGAGCCCCGGGGCCCAGTGGGCAGCCTGTGCCCACCTCTCGCCCCGTGCCCCACGGCCGGCTGCTGGGGAAGCCCCAGCCACTGCTGCCCACACTTGAGGGTCCTCGTCACCTGCACGGGAGGCACAAGGACAGTGGCCCAGGCCCCCCACCCTAGCTTCCTGGGGTGGTCTTACCGCAGACAGGGTCAGTGGGCAGTGGTGCGTGTCCATGAGAACACCAAACCAGCCCCAGGGCGTGAGCAGGGCCACCTGTGGGGTGGGGGACGACATGGGGGGAACGAGCAGTAACTGTGGGGCCAGGTCGCCTTCGGCCCAGCCCCCAAAACACCGAAGACACACAGGCGATGACCTGAGAGAATCTTTTTATTCAACCGCACAGAGGAGCCGAGCGTGGGGCTCCACCTCCTGCCCACGGCGGCGGCGTGCGCACATAGGAGGCGGCCCCCGACTGAGCGCAGGAGGTCTGAGCCCAGCCGGTCCGGGTCCCTCCTGGGCAGCGGGGGCAGGAGGGAGATGTGGGCTTGGGACCCGTGCAGGGCACCACCAACCTGCCCTCACCCCCACACCCAGATGCCAACAGCCAAGCCCCAGGCATGGCAGGGGCGGTGGAGGGACAGGAGGGTCTGATGTAACCCAGCCTGACACACGAAGAAACCAGCGGGGCCCAAGGCCCAGGACCCAGCAGGAGCCCATCCCACGCGTGAGCGATTTCTCTCAGAACGCACGCAGGCAGAGCGCCCAGGGAGGCAGGGCCAGGTGCCAGAAGACCAAAGGGAGGAGCCGAGGAGCCCGCAGGAAGTGGGGGAGCGGCAGTCCCGGGAGCTGTGCTGAGCGAAGGCAGGGGTCTTGGGCACTTCCAACAAGCGAAGCTCGCCCATCCTGCAGGGACAGGGCGCGGGTCCCGCGCCCCAGATGGCGTGGTCCGCCCAGTGTTGCTGCTCAGACCTCCCTCGAGTGCGCCCAGCACGTGAGCGCACACGGGCGGGCACACGCAGGCACACGGGCCATCTGCACATGCGCAGGCCTGCCTGGCAGTTCGGCTCACCTCTCCTTCACGTGGTTCTGTGCCCCCGGGCCCCCGCCGCCGGCCCCGCCCCCGCCGCCGGCCCCGCCCCCGCCGCACAGCGCCTCCGTGAGGTCGTCCATGACGGCGGTCTCTTTGGGGTCCAGCAGGCCGAACTCCCGGGCGAAGAGCATGAAGTGCACGTAGAGCGTGTTCAGGTGCCCGTGCAGCTGCAGGGCCAGCGTCTCCTTGAAGTGGGACGAGTAGATGTGCGCCAGCACGTGGAACAGGTGCCTACAGATGCGCTTCACCAGGGACTCGAAGGAGCCGGGGAACTCTCGGCCTGCGGGCGGAGCGGCTGCCATGGAGTCCGCGCTGCTGCGGTGCCCCGCCCGGCCCTCCGCCAGCAGCCCTGCAACCTGGGGGCCCAGGGGCTTCCCTCAACGTGGCCTAGGCTGTGGGGGCGCACAGTCCCTCCTGTCAGTCCCCGCCCCCCCCCACTGCACACGACCAGGTGCTGAGACCTACCGTACTTTGTGGGGAACACGTCCTCATCCGTCACCAGCTTTTGCACAGAGCTCATGACAAAGTCCACATACTGGGGGGCCGTGCACTTGACCTTCTTCCCCCTCTCGTCATACCAGTAGTACTGTCTGTGGGGACAGAGGAGGTGGTCACAGCATGGCCCCCCCACTGCCTCCACGGCCGGGGGGCGGCTGCAATCTGGAGGTGGCACCGCAGGGCTGGCCTCCCTGGTGGGGGTGCGGAGGCGCCCACGCCTCTGTTCCCAAAGCCCCCGGGGACCTGCAGCCGTTCGGAAGAGGGGGGTCCGCTTGCACCGACCAATCAGCGTCCAGGACACACACCCGTCTGGACACGTGCAAAATAAGTCCGCAGAGGCCCCGCCCCCACCACACCGCACAACTTCCGGTTGTCTGCTCCCCAGCGCGACTCCCCCACCTGCCCAGGAGGCCCCGCCGGGCGGGAACCCAAGGCCAGTCCACAGCCACTCTGCAAGACGGTAAGCAACCCTTCTCCCTCCTGCAGGGCCGTGGAGTCCCTGTGCCGGGCAGAGAGCCTGGCCTCTGGCAAGGAGGCCCCACGGGACAGGGCCCAGCACCCCGAGGGTCCTGAGCACAGGTCAGAGTCTCAGAAAAACAAGCGCGGCTGCCAACTGGGACACAGACTCCCACGCCAGATGCCAGGAGGCCTGAGGACAGCTCCCAAGGGACACTGGGCGCCAGGTCTGAGAGACAGTGTTCCCTGTCGCTGCTCCTGTCCCCATTTTATGTCACATCACACAGTGCAGCCGCCCTACGGCTGAGGTCCCTCTTGGCCAGCCTCCCAGCCCGGGCCTGGCCCTGCCGCTCAGCCCCCACACACTTGGGCTACTCCTGGGCACACCACGTGCCGCCCAGCCAGGCCACGGTGTGGGGACCCGGGTCCCTCCCCCTCCCTGCTGATGGGCTGCTGCCGGGACACACCTGCAGACAGACACGGGCCAGGCGTGCACACGAGCACGAGTCCCCACACTGGGTGCGGGAAGGTGTCCGGGAGCAGGGTGCCGATTCCGAGGCAGACCAGCGCCGCCCTCCGTGAGGAGCGCCACACTGCCCTCCAAGCTGCCATCCCAACGGCCTCTGCACCACTCTGTGTCCTCGTGGGCACCTGGCGAGCCGGCAGGCGCGCTCGCAGCCCAGTGCCCACCCCCACCCCCGCGCAGTTGTCTGCAGTCTCTCCCGGTTCTCTCCTGCTGCCCCCACAGCGCAGTTCCAGCTCCCACCAAGCCCGACATCCTGACTCGTCCCTGGGCCGAGGGCCTCGCCCCACGCTGTCTCGCAGAGCCCCTCCCGTGGCACGTCCAGGACCACTGCTTCCCACTCACACGCAGGGTCCCCGTGGCGCTCACTCAGGCTGAGGTTTGGCCACAGATGTGTTTTCTTCACACACTACCCATCTCTCCAACAGTGCCGGCGGGAAAGACCACCTTCTCTCCACTGAACTTCCTCCGCGTGGGCCAACGCCCACGGCCATGTTTGCGTGCGTCGGTTTCCGCCCGCCTGTCCCCAACAGCCGTCCTGACTGCTGCTCTTTCTGGGTGTCGCTGCGGCTCCTGCAGGGCCCTCTGTCCTCCGGGCGAATGCTGGGCTGGCCGCGGCTGCACAGGGGGACCAGCCCACGGGCGGGGTGTGCGCTGGAAGGGTTCTCGGCCTCCTCTGCGGCGTGCCTGCCTGCACCCCGTGTTCCTGCACGCTGCCGGGGCCCAGACTGACTGGTGCCTGCTGCCTGGCCTCGCTCACCCGGCTCGTTCTTTTGGTTCTCCGCTGGGTGTCCTCGGCGCTGTGCATGGTGAGGTACGTGGCTTCCCCCCACGGCTTTTGCTGCCCCACCTGCACTGCCCCATGGGATGCCTTCCACAGGGCCGGGCTGTCCACCCACCCTGCAGAACTCGGTGCCACCTGCATGCCGCCCTCCCACCCCTTACACTGACCACGGGGACGCTTCTCCTCTGTGTCTGTGTCTGTCCTGCAAAAGGCCCATCCGGCTCATTCATCTTTCCAGGGAATCAGCTTTTGGCTCCATCGATGTTCCCTCCTGTTTTCAGAGAGCGATTTCCGTGGTTCCTGACTGGCACGGGGGTCTGGCCTGGTCCGCTCGCCCTCCTCATGCAGCCTGGTGGTGCCCCACTCGCAGGAAGCCGCCACACTGACGCTGGACTCAGAGCGGACACTCGTGGGCACAGCCCAGAGCTCCCGGGCTCCAGTGACCCTCTGCCTCCGCCGCCCGGGCCGCCGCACCAGGCCCATCTCAGTGATTTCTGGGGTTTTTTTTTTCCCTTCCGCCCAATTTGGGTTTACTTTGTTTTTTCTCCAGTTGCTTAACATGGCAGTTTAGATCATAAGTTTGAAAGCTTTTTCTTCTAAAATACACATGTGACCCCATAAATTTCCCTCACAAGTTGCTTGTGCTGCACCCACAGTTCAGACCTGGGCTGCCGACGACACCTTCCTGTCACCCCGAGACCTTCTCCCCGACCGCAGGTCACTCAGAAGCCTGTTGACCCCACACTTTGAAGACCTCCCTGCTGTCTCTGTTCCCGGTGGCCAGATCAAGGCCATCACGGTTGGGAATCGCGTACCTCTGACCCGGCGGCAGGTGTCCAGGGCTGTGCCGGGAGCTGGGATCGGACCCGTTGTGGTGGCTCTGCCCTGTGCACGCACCGGCGTGCCGTGCTGAGGGCACGTCGTCTGGACCACGTGGCAGCTCGCCAAGCACGTGCCTGAGCCCTCCTCTCCTGGGGACCTCCCCACACCCAGGCCCGTCCACCACCACCAGGTGTGGACGCCCACCCGAGACAGCCTGCTGCCCCTGCTCCTGGCTCTGCCCACACGCCCCGCCCCCGGTCAGCTGGCTGCCGTGAGCATGCTCCGCAGTGCACCGCCCGCACTCAGGAGCCACTGGTCAGTCTCCGACTGCTGTGTGCCTGTCCACTGCCTCTGCTGCACCCACACATGCTCCTCCTCCGCGCTGCCCTGTCCCCAAGCTCAAATCCCACTCGGGAGAGCCCCCGGGGTTCCCGAGGGCAGGTCCGCTGCCTCGCTAGGGGCGGAGCTCTGCAGCGACCGCCGCCTCATTCCCGCCGCGCCTGAGAAACAGCAGGAGCTGCCGCTGCCCCAGAGGCCCCTGAGGACGGCCCTTGCCAGCGGCCCTCAGGGCTGCGCACGGCCCGCTGCTCCTCGGGCCTCCCGTCCCAGCAGCGTGATGAGGACGGTCAGGCTCTCAGAGTAGGCCCGGTGTCAAGTCCGTGCAGCTCCCCGAACCCACGGGCCTCCCCAGCGGCCCTGTCTTCCCTGGGACCTCACCACAGCTGGCTGCTGTGTGTGGAGGCAGCTCCAGCCAGGGACAGCAGGTGGCCCTGTGACAAGCTGCCCCTTTCTCTTAAGTGGCGAGTGGGGTCCTATCGGCCGTGCATCGGCCGACACACAGCTGGACAGCCAGCCTGCACAGGCCGGGGCAAGAGGCGGGCAGACGGTATCGGTTCCTCCCGCCTCCAGCTGCACACGGGCAAACCCGCACCCCCGTGCCTGTCGCCCGACACCAAACCCGTGCTCTCCAGTGGGACGGGGGTGGGGCTCTTGTCCAACACACGGGCACTGAAGGGCAGGTGGCGGGGCAGTGAGCAGGCCCGGCTTCCCCGCCTGCCTGCCAACGGGCCCCTCAGACAGTGCCTGGCCGGGTGCGTAGTTGGCCCGCCTGCTCCCGAGTGGGCTCCAAGCAGGACTCCCAAGGCCCGCCCCGCGCACCCGCAGCATCTGCAGCCGGTCTGCACTGAGGGGGCCTCTCCCGTCCCACGGGCGCCCTCCTTCCCAAGTCCACCTCCACTCTGCTCCCTGCCCTGCCCACTCTGTCCCCCGCACCGAGCCACGTCTCACTGCGACTAGCCAGGGACACAGGTGGCACCTCAATCATCTCTCGATGGCATTTCCCCGACAGACAAGGATGGGGGCCGCTGCTGGGCGCACCTGCTCCCACAGGACGGGCCCTGGGGGCAGAGAGCCGAGTGCCCCTGTCTGGGTCCGAGCGCGGCAGGGACCCTGGGCGGCTCGCACAGGGCCGCCCGAGAGGAGTGCCTAGGCCCCTGCTTGGCCTCCAGGCCCCTGCCAGCACGAGTCCAGCACCCTGGCCTCTGCTTCCAGAGGCTGGGACCCCTACCACACTGCACTCGGCAGTGGGGCTGGCCCCCCAGGGACAGCTGCTCACCGAGGACAGACAGGCAGGGGGGTTCCCGGGGGACCGCTGCCCACACCAGGCTGCCCAGGCCAGCCCACCCTCGGGGACAACTGGCTGGAGCAGGGAGGACCAGTGCCTCGCGGGGCTTGTGGTCTTGGGGAAACCAACGAGGGTGCCTGGCAGGAAGGTTCCCATCCCCAGAACAGGCCCTATTAGCCCATGGCCGCGTCCTGGTGCACCGCACACTGGGGGTGCACCGCACACTGGGGCTGCCCCGCGGCAAGTGTCCCTTCCCAGCCGGGCTCTGCTTCCTGCGCCTCCACTGGGCCAGGGCTCCCGCCATGGAAGACCTGGCTCAGGTCAGTGGGGGTCGGGGGCAGGGCCAGGCCCCGCAGCCCACCCGAGCCCAAGCCCAAGCCCAAGGCGGCACTCACGTGTTGCACACGGCCATGGTCTGGCAGGCCTCCGCCGTGCAGAACTCCGACACGGTGCCGTACTGCAGGTTCACGTGGTGGAAAAACGTGGTGGCTGTGGGAGGAGAGTGGGCGGCATGAGTGCTGCTGCGGGGCCCGCTGAGCTCTGTGCTCGGGGCCCGGGCAGCCGGCGCCTCTGACCAGAGACAGAGGCCCGGGCATGGAGCATCCGCCGACCACGGTCGGACTGCAGATGTAGCCTGGGCAGAGCGCCAAGCTGGGCGGGGGCCGGGGGCCCGTGAGACTGAGCCCCTCCACGAGGGGGTGCTCCCCACCCTGACCATAAGCAAGGTCCCTGACCACAACCAGCTGGATTGGGGGTGCCACCTGAGCACCGACTGAAGCAACTCCACCCTCTGCCCACCGAGCCCACCGCCCTCCCCGTGGAATCCCACCTCGAGTGCCGGTGGCCCTCCTGAGGCTTCTATGCGCCCCAGACGCCAGACCAGTCGGGGCGCCCACTGAGTCCCCTCCACACCCTGCAGGACTGGCCACGCCATGTGTCAGCTTCCAGCTGACCTGAGCAGGGGGCTCGCTGGGGGCTGCCGCCCGGGGCCACAGGCCACGCAGAGAGCCCGCCCTCTGCAGCAGAGCTCCGTGGATCGCCGAGGACCCAGGGGGTAGCCCCTTCACTGTCTGAGGCCAGCGGCCCACCCACCCCATGGCCCCACGCACTGTTGCTGGCCAGCCACTCATTGAGGTCGATCTCCCGGGGCAACGCCACCAGCTCCTTGAACTCGCAGTCAGTGATGCGGGATTTGGCGAGCTCCGGGTCCAGGTAGGCCTTCTTCTCCTCCGCGGCCGGCTTCTTCCCATTGGGCTTCGCTTTGGACTTCCTGCCAGAGGAAGAGAGCCGTCACCACATGTACTAAGTGCAGACGGGGGCTCCAGGCCCGCCCCCAAGACAAGCAGGGTCATCTCAGCCAGTGCGGTGGGCACCGGGGGTCTCCCAGAGGCAACTCGGGAGGCTCGGCCTCACCGGCCATCGTCTCCCTGCTGCTGGGAGAAGGGCATGCAAGGACACCAGCTGGTGGCCTGCCGCCTCGGGGCCAAGCCTGGGACTCTGTGCCCTCCCCGGCGTGTGACACCCCAGGCCTGCAGCCAGCCTGGCCTGTGCTGGGGACCTAGCCCCTCAAGGCAGGACCCCTGAAGCAGTGGCCAGCAGGTGGGCGTCCTCACTGAGCACCTGCTGGGGGCTGACACCCCGCTTGCCTGCCCTGGGGGCTTCCCCCCACACCTGTCCCGCCCCCCAAAAGCAGGGTGCGGGTTTCCAGGGGCTGGTGGGTGGGAGCCAAATGCCACAGAAATGTGCAGAAGTGGCCAGTTCTCGCTGAAGTTTTCTCCTGTTTAGGAAGAGTTCTTTCCCACAAAAATGCACTATTATTTACCCCAGAACAGCCTTGTGCGGCTATTTTTATGCAGACGAGTATGTTTCTCCAAAGTGCCTGTTCCCATGTGAGGAGTGACCCTAGGGACAGACCACTGTGCCCCCACACTCCCTCCTGCCGAGCTCCTCCCGCTCAGTGGGACCCAGGTGTGTGGGGCTGAGGCGGGCCAGCCAGGCAGTCTGCCCCTTGAGCTGCCACTGGACACAGGTCGGCGTGTCTGTCATATGGTGCCGGGCGCTGGGATGGCTGTGGGCCTGTGACCCAGGAGGGCTGTGGTCAGGGTGCTGGCCCGGCCCCTCAGTGCACTCCCGGGTCCCCGGACTCATGGAGGAGCGGCCACACGGGGTGGGTGGGGATGTCTGCGGGGGGAGGTCTCTGCAGATCCCCGGCCTGACCCTTTCTGTCCTGCTCTGAAAAGCTGCTGGTGGCTTACGTAAGAGACACAGGAAGGAAAAACGCTCCCTGAGCCAGAGAGGCTCTCCCTTCGGCTTCTCACAGCGGACCTTCTCCTTAAAAGGCGACATGCACTGGTCTCTGGGGACAGCACCGGGAGGGGCCGGGGCCAGGCAGGGCCATGCATTCTGGGGACGGGGGTCAGAACCTGACCCCTAAATCCTCACCCTGCCGGGGGGGGGGCGGTTCAGGCACAGCACAGACACAAACACTCACACGCCTCAGGCCCTTCTGGGGCCCAGAGTAGGCGAGGATGTCCCCTGGGAGCAACTCCCTTAGGCCGGCACAGGGAGCAGCACGCAGGGGGGACTGGGAGCCAGGGAGGGCCTAGTGCACCCTGGGAACCGGCTGGCACACTGGGCCGCTCCCCGGGAGTGGTGGGCGGGCGGCCGTCCTGCCAGCCCTGGGTCTCTGCTACGGAGCGTCAGAGGGCCACGCGGCCCGAAGGCCCTCATGCCTGTGGCCCTGGTAGGAAGGACCAGCCTGCCGGGCACCCCTGCCAGGCAGACTCTGCCCTGGGCCACACACCCAACCTTCCGGTGCCCGGCTCATACGGGCCACACGCGGCCTCGGCCTCCAGGTCTGGAGACACCCACAATCATGAGGACGGGGAGAGGCAAGGTGGGGGCCCAGGCTGTGACCCACCTCCCTTTGCTGCCATTTAGGAGCCGGGTCACCGGGGACTCACAGAACACGTATGAACAGCAGCCCACGGGTGGCCGTGACAGGAGTGGCCACAGGAAGCACCCCAACAGGGATGGCCACTGGTATGGGCACCGCCTGCCGGCCTGCTCGCCTCCCGTCTGCACGACCCTCCCCATGCTCCTCGGCCCCTCACCCAAAGGCTCCTGCAGCCGCCGGACACCGACTCGGACCCACCGGTGCTGGGCAAGAGCTCAAGGGAGGAAGTGGGGCCCACTGGGAGCGGCCCAGGGTGCTGTGGGTGCTGCTCTTGTGGCTCCGAGACAAGTCCAGCTCCAGGAGGCTGGCCACCCTGCGGCGGTCCCCACCTGCCCGTGCAGTGTGCCCGAGGGGGCCTCGCCAGCAGGCCCGACTTGGTTATCAGAGGGGCAACAAATAACGTGGGGTGCTGAAAAATGGATGCACCTTCAAGGCATCAGCCGTGCGGGGAGAGCAGCTGGAGGTCCCCAGGCTCAGAGTGAGTGGCACTGGCGGGCGCACCACTCCCTCCCTTTCCTAGGGGCCCACCTGGCCTGCTGTGTGTCTGTGTGTCCTGTGCCCCCCAGTCCGTCCCTCATGGGTGCTGGCAGAGCTAGGGCCTTGCCAGCAGGGGGGGGTCAAGGCAGGTCTGGGAGAGGGGTCGTGGGAAGGAGACATGTGGGGGCCTGCAAGCAGGGCGGGGCCAGGCCAGAGGCGGCCGTTTCCACAGACAGCCCCCTGGGGCAAAGGAGGTGGGAGGTGCAGGGGGCGGGGGCCCCCAGAAACTGCTCCACGGGACGGGCCCCTGTGGGCTGAGGGTGAGCTGTCGGGCGCAGAGGCGGGTGGGGGGGGCCAGTGGGCAGGTGCAAGGGCAGCACAGCCCGAGTCTAGGTTCCTGCGACCTCCTCCAGGACACAGGCCAGCACCGTACCCCGAGATGGCCAGGCCCAGACACGTGGGGACTGCTGGTCTGCGGATCTGCACCCCCCATGAACGTGCTGCCCCCAGGGCTGGTGAACACAAGGGCTCGCTGCCACCCTGACGCCCGGAGGCCTGATGCCCACCGGGCTCCTGTCAGTCCCCCACTGCCTGCGGCTGGCCCGATGCCATGGTGGCCACCAGGTCGTTTCTCTTGGCTTAACCGCCCCAGAGTCAGCACCCCAAACACAGTGGCTCTCACAAGCCCGAGTGTCCCACCGGGAAGGGACTGCCCAGGCAGCCGGACGAAGGCACATCAGCAGTGTGAGCGCCCGATCCCGAACTGCAGCAGTGAAGCGGCGGCGGTGGAGCACAGGTTCCAGGCGCTCGCTCACACCTGGCCGGGTCTCCCGGGCCCTGCAGAACGGCCAGGCCCGCCTCCCCCGGGGCCCATGGGACCCGGGCCGTCACACACCATGGCTGGTGGGGGGGCTGCTGCAGGGCTCAGCTCTGCCCACTGCGCACACAGGTGTGCAAGGCCCATAGCTTGCGTGCGTGTGAACCCCTACGCCACCCCGGACGGTCGCCGTTCCCGATCGGACCAATGCCACTGAGAGTGCTGCCGATACAGCCGCCCGATGAGGGCCCCTCGCTGGTGGTGGGGGGGGGGGCGCTGGTGTCCACCTGTGACTCAGCGGGAGCCCCTGGGGGGCGGGTGGCCGACCCACTGTGCACAAGAGCCCCGTGGAAGGGACAGTGGGAGGCCCAGACACAGACGGGTCCCTCCGCTAGGCCCCTCACTGGCTTCGTTCACTCACAGTGAAGGAGGAACTGGAGTGGGAAAGCGAGACCCTCTCATTTAAAGACATGGACCCAGGAACCAGACAGGCAGACCCTGACTGGAGCTGACTGGTGACACACGCCAGAGCTGACCACGGCACTGTCCCAGCCCCTCGAGGCCCCCAGCGGGGCCCACTGCACACACACAGCCGCTGCCACTCCGGCAGACAGGGTGCAGCGGGGGCCCCCCAACCCACGTCTCGGGCATGGGAGGCCCCATCAGGGCTCCGGACAAGGCCACTCCTGGATGGGCGCCCGGCACGGCGGTGAAGGGCCTGTCCCACAACCTTGGGAGGGGTGCAGCAGGGCTGCTGTGGCCAAAAACACTGCCTGGTGGGCCAAGCTCACTGCCCAGACGCAGCACGCCCTCCACCAGCAGCAGGAGCTGTGGGCAATTAGGGGAGACCTCCTGCAAACGAACTCCTGACCAGACCCCAGCAGTGGTGCCCCTCCTCAGCCTGACCCCAGGGGCAGGGACTGGGGGCAATAAGACAACCAGCCCTCGGCCCCCCCCCCCCCCGGCCCCAGGGTTCACCTGAGCACTTTGCCAACTGCCTGAAGCACCATTTTACAGCTGAGTCCGGTCTTGGGGGGCTGGCTGAGCAGAGCTCGGTCTGCGGGGCGGCTGCTGTGCTCCCCCAGCATGCTGGGGCGGTGCGGAGGTGCAGAGGGAAGTGGGAGCCCAGCCGCTGCACCGCCCCTGCCCTCCCAGGCGCCCCGCCCAGAGCACGGCAGCAGCCAATGAGGACGCGGGGAGCGGAGGGCTCCGCCGGGCGGCTCACACAGCCGCCCCTTTCACAGGCCCGGCCCCCAGGGAGATGAGGGTGTGTCCCGGTCGGCTTTTCAAAGTGGCGCCTGGCGGGCGGGTGCTCTGCGGGGAGGGCAGAGCCCCAGGGAGGGGCCTGTGTGTGGGGGGTGGGGTGGGGGGGCCGGGTGGCACACTCCGGGGAGCGGGGAGCAGGCAGCAGCCCCGCCCAGCATCTCCGCCGGCCCACAGAGCCCCAGGCCTGACCCCAACCCTGGGAGACAAGATGCCAGGCGGGCGGTGCAGAGGCCCGCTGCGCGCCCCCCTGCAGACAGCCTTGGGGAGACAAGGCCGGCAGGCTCCGGGGCACCCAGACCAGGTGCTCACAGGCCCTGCGGGGGCAGCAAATCCAGACGGAAGCGGCCCCGGCACCCGTTGGTGAGTGTGCACAACCTGGGGGCCGCCGCCTGCCTTCTTCAGGGCGCAGGGAGAGCAAACCCTTGCAGAGTCAAAGGGGAAGATTACGGCACTCAAAAGACGGGGAATTCCAAAAAGTACAGACGGCAAGTTCTAGAGCCTAAGGCTGCAACATCTAGAATGAGGTCTTGTAGAGCAGACTTAATAAGTTAAATGAAAAGTTCACAAAAAAGTTACATAAAATTTGTTGAATGTAGTTAACCTGGGTTTGGGGAAAGCTTATTACTATAAGTGTTTACATCAGAAAAAAAGGGCTTAAAACCAAACAATCTACAAACCCACCTGAATAACCTAGAAAAGAGTGTGTAGAAAACCCAAAGCAAGAGGAAGTAAAGATAATGGTAAAAGCCCGCGGCACAGAAAACGGACAAATGCAGACCGGAACACGAAGTGTCAGAAACAGATGAACTTCCCAGCCAGCCGGTCACAAAGGCAGAGACACAAAAACCGGCACCGAATGAGGGACACGCCCACAGGCCCCAGAGTCACTCGAGGACAGGGAAGGAAAAGGCACAACGAAGTAGCTTCCTGCACAAACACAAGTCACCAACACCGACACGGGCAGGAACGAGAAGCTCGAGTTTACAGCGAGAGCCTCTCCACGAGGCAGTGCCAGGTGTGGGTCCCGCGGGGGCTCTGCCGCCTCCCAGGGAGCAGCCACAGGGCCCGGAGAGCAGAGGGAAATGGTGACCCCACGCCTCCGCTGGGGCAGGGAGGGGGAGTGAGAGGCCACCCTCATGGACGCTGATGCCACACCGCCCAAAATACACCGGCAAACTGAGTCCCACCTATGAGCATGTGAGTGCACAGGTACAGGGGAGGGTGGTGTGTGTGTGTGTGAGCAAGTGGGAGGGGTGCATGCTGAGTACGTGTACGTGCGAGGGGTGTATGCATGTGGGCATACATGTGAGGCACATGTGTGCACACGCGTGTGAGGTATGTGAGCGTTTGTGTGCATGAGGTGTGAGCACATGTATACAGGTGGAAGGCGTGTGCAAGTGAGCACATACCCACACGTGAGAGGTGTGTGTGTGTGACTTCAGGCAGCTGGGCTCCGTCCCTCCTACCCCCAGGCCCCCCAGCTCAACCCCTGGGCCCGGCCCACCCCACCAAGTCGGGCTCCGCCTCCTACTCTGCCCGGTTTTCCCTGCTCCGCTCACTCTGCTCCTGGCGCACACAGTCCGGCGCATGCATTGCCATCACCACTAGCGGGAGCCTCGTCCAGAATGCAGGGCACTGCCCTGCTCGTGGGTGGCTGCACCCCAGCACCCACAAGCACCCCAGAATGTGTGGGGTCCGAGTCCTGTCCGACTCCAGCGCCTCCGCCTCTCAGCACTGCTGTCCCCGAGAACTGCCGACTGGACCGCTGCCTGGACTGCAGCATCCCCGTGCAGGGCCACCCGCCCGCCTGGTCATGGCTGTGCTGACGCCCCCTGCAGTCCATCGGAGCCGCCATACAGGCGGCGGGAAAGGCTGGGAGAGGCTGAGAACGCCCTCGCAGGGTGTGCGTCCAAGGGCACAGACGGGGCCAGGAGGGTGTGGGCGGTGGGGACGGCCGACTTTGGAGCCACTGGTGCAGGGATGGCAACAGCCTCCCAAGGCCGGACGTCCCCTCCACACGGTACACGGGACAGAGGAGGACTGATCCCTCCCACAGCGGCCGAGGCCATCTCTGCACCACCCCGCGGGCCCAGCCATCAGGGTCACCACGGACACAAGGCCTGGCTCGGGCCTGCCCAGGGCACCCAAGCCTGGCCCGTCCGTCCTACGCTGGGTGGAAAGAGCCTTCGCCTGCCCCCTGGAGCCCCATGCGTGCGGGAGGGTACGCAGCAGGAGGGCACCGCCACCCGGAGCCCCGGATGCTTCGCCTCAGCACCCCAACCCGGCCCCACTGGCCGCTGCCATGCCTGGGAGTGAGGCTGGTCCACAGGGCTGTCCCCAGCAACCCTGAGCACCTCCCAGGTGTTCGCTGCCTCACACCCCCACCTGCCGTTTCAATAGAGGTGGCAACTGAGCGTGGATGGCAAGGAAGTTCAGACGCAGTGGGGACAGCCCGCCCAGAGCCCGTGCCCTCGACCAACCCAACCCCACCCCCGAGACGGGCCTGCACACTCAGAAAGGAAGGAAGTCGATTTCTGCGCTGGCCCAAGTGCCAGGGCTCCAGGCAGAGAAGGCTGTGCAGGGGGCCTTTCCCCTGGAGCTGGCTCAGGGGCCGTCAGTTCCTGCTTCCAAGGGCCAGCTCACCCTGCACCCTCCCACCCCGGATGGACGGCAGGGTGGGGATCGGACAAGGAGAAAGCCTCAGCACACCCCTGCTCCCGCAAGCCCCCAACACCTTATGCGGAAGAGGAGACGCCACCAGCAGCACGGGCCCTGCGGACGGCCAGCCTGCGGGGGAGGCGGAGGGCAGACTCGGGCGGGGCCTGCTCAGCGGGCCACCCAAACTTGCAAAACAGCCCTGTGCAACTGGGCTCAGGAAGTCGGGGAAGACCTTCTGGGTGGCAGCAGAGGACCTGCAGGGGTCAGGCTGGAGGTCTAGTGCCCACTGAAGCCCAGCCACCGGGGTGACCGTGGGAACTGCAGGACACCAGAGAGCCACCGGACTACAGGGGAGGGAGGCAGGCTGCACGCTGCACCAGGGCTGAGGGCCCGGGTTGCAGTGCAGGGTTCGGAGGTGCATGAATGCCCTCACGACCATCACCAAAGCCATTCTGTTTCAAGTTCAAGTCAAGCCAAACTCCCAACAATTGAAGTGGCTGTTGGATCCTGCCTAGTCATCCCGCCTGGCCCCCGGCCACTGCCCGACCACAGAGGGCAGGGGCACCCAGGCCACGCGGCAGCCACCTCTCACAAGTCTTCCCTCCGGACCCGCACTGGATCTGCCAGACAGGCGCCTGCAGCCCCGGGCAGGGACGAGGTGGCCCCCTGGTGGAGGGGCCGAGGCCCCGGAGCAGCAGCAGAGCCCTGGCACCAGCAAGAGGCGGGCGCAGGGAGGACCGATGCTGGTGCCCTGCTCTCCTCTGTGAGGCCGCAGGGGCTCAGAAAACCCAGTGGACTCATGGCAGGGGGCCGACTGTCACTCCCCTAGCTGTCACCAGCCAAGCAGGCACCGAGCCCAGGCAGCCAGGGCCCCGGCTGCCCAAGAAAAGGGCCACGTGGGTCCTGCCAAGTCACCCCGCCCTCCCGGCTGGTATAAAAGCTTCGACTGCAAGATTTAGCCCAGGCTCAGGCCACAGGAGGACGGCTGGGAGCAGCGACTGGCGGGACTGGCTCTGGGTCCAGCAGAAACGTTGGGCATCTTTCATATTTTCCCCCAAACACTGAAATCCAAGCAAGAAAACAGCCCTGCCCCAGAAAAGCACTAGAGTGCCGAGGGCGGCAGTGCCCTCGCTGTGCAAGGCAGTGACAGCAGTGCCCTTGCTGTGCAAGGCAGTGGGGACAGTCCCACAGAGCCCATGGCCAGCCCCTCTGCAGGTCCCTGGGTCACGTCCCCGTCAGTCAGCTGCCCCTCAGAGATGACGCCCCTCCAGGAAGGCCAGCTCCCTGGCCGGGAGAGTCCGGGGAGCACAGAGCAGGGGGCTTGTGCCCGAGAGCTCACACGAGGCTCCGACCAGCACAGCCCCAGGAGCCCACGTGCACCTGGGGCTCAGCGCTGGCAAGGGCGCGGGGTTCTGAAACCACCAAAGGGCCCTGTTCCGGGAGCTCTGCCGGCAGCCAACCTGCAGCCCGTCGGGCCTCACCCCAGCTGCTTCCCCGAGGGAAGGAGACACGTTCGGTTGCACACAGGAGACGGCAGCCAGGCTGGGAGCCGGGGGGCCTGGTTGTCCTCCCCAACTCCCCGCTGTCCAGGTGAAAGGGCACGTGCCCCTGTGCTTGGACTCGGAGGGGAGGCATCCGGAGTGAGGGGCCCAGAAGGGAGTGGAAGGCCATGATACCACAGCCCGCGCTCCACACTGACCCAGGAAAGCCTGAGCAGAGACCCTCAGCTCAGACCAGTGGCTGGGGACAGAGGGTCTGGGCCACCCACAGGCCCAGCCCCCATCCTCAGAGGGCCCTTTCGAAAACCCAGGCCTGTTTGAGGTCACTTCTGGCACACGGTCCCCAGGCTGCCCTGCTGCAAGGGTGCTCAGACCCTCCGGCCTCTCTGAGGCCCCATGTGCCCAGGCCGGCCTGGGGGTGGGGGGGGGAAGCCCACAGCCGTGCCAGGACCCCGCCTCGCTGTGTCTTCAGCCCCACAGGGCCTCCGCCGAACCCCAACCCCCCACGCCCCTCCTGCTGCGTCCAGGGAGCTCAGTGGGAGCAGGGAGTGTGCCCGCTGGCCCCGGCTGGAGAGCAGGGGCAAGGGGTCGCCACGTGTTTCTGAAAGAACAAACTCCTGATCCACCAACTGGGACACGCACAGACCAGGGAGAAGGACGACCACCCCACCTGCAAATCA